GGCCTGGCCTCGCCGCCCGGCCCCGGGGCTGGGCGAGCCCAGGCGAGCCACGACCCGTCTCTGGGCCTCAGGTGGGGGGGAGCTTCCCTTCCGTCCCCCATCCCTTTATCATCTCTCCCTCCCCCCATGTATCCTTCCCTCCTCCCTCCTTCCTTCCATCCCTGACTCCCTCTCTCAGTTCTATCAGTTGAAAATGTATAGCAGGTGAAACTACTGCTGCGACCATCCGCTTTACAAATGTGCCAACTGAGGCTCAGAGAGGACCAGGGGCCGGCTAGCTCTCTGGTGGAGGCTCTGGTCATTTAGGGGGCACTAGGCCCTGAGTGCAGAGAGACGAGGGTTAGGCTTAGGGTTGATAAGTGATGGATGGATGGATGGGTGTGTGGGTGATGGATGCATGGATGAGTGGACGGATGAATTCATAGGCCATGGTTACATGGATGGGTAGCTATATGGTTGAATAATCGACAGGAATGGCTGGATGGTGAATGGTGGTGAACATTAACCTGGAACAATGGATGAGTGTTCAGGATGGATCCTCACACAGATCTTGTTTCCCCAAAGCTGGGCCACTCCCCTCCCCCCAGCCTTCCCCAAGCGGCTCCACCTCCAGAGCCCCCTCTTCCTGTCCCCTCTTCCCAGGTCCGACTGGTTTTTCTATGACTGCCGCCTCCTCAGACATGTGGCTGTGGGCCTCTTCTGCTGTGGGGTCTCCGTCTACCTAGCAGGTACGTGCCGGGGACAGGACGTGGGGTGTGGGGGCCGTGGGTGGGAACGGCCAGGGTTAATGGTCCCATAACCGGGGTGAACTCTGGAGCCACCCTGCCTGTGTGTTTGTTTTTTTTTTTATTACAAAGGGTATTACATATGTGTCCATTTTTCCCCCCGCCCTACGACATGTGGCCGTGGGCCTCTTCTGCTGTGGGGTCTCCGTCTACTTAGCAGGTGCGTGCTGGGGGACAGGACGTGGGGTGTGGGGGCCTTGGGTGGAAACGGCCAGGGTTAATGGTCCCATAACCAGGCTCAACTCTGGAGCCACCCTGCCTGTGTTTGACTCTTGGGTCTGACACTTTCTGCCTCAGTTTCCTCATCAGTACAATGGGATGCTTCATAGAATTGCTGAGAGGATTTAGAGTTAAACCCCCTAAAAGCCCACACATGGCATCTGGCTCCAGTGGGAGGCTGTGGGGAGGGGGGCAGGGATTCATAAATGGTACTTGTCTTCCGAACACTCCTGATTCGTCAGTTTTCTACGTTTGGTTTTGAACAAAATTTTCTATGTCCTTGGTAGTTTCAGGAGATAGTTTCAGAGGTTGGCCTTAGCAAAAAACTGTTTTGGTTACAAATATCAGAACTTCCAGCTCAAGAATGGCTTAAGGAGCGGGGGTGGGGGTGGGGGGGAGATACACTTTATAAAGCAGAAATGCAATTTAAAATCCCCAAACATGAAGGAGAGTAAAAATAATTAGCTGGGTGCCAGAGGACACACCACCCTCTTTTCCTCCCTGGCTTTTAATAACTTAGATCAATGTTCTCACCCACACCTCCTGGTAAAGGCATCAAATCATCACGTTTCTTTAAAGAGACTCCTGACTTGTTATATTTGGTTGTAATCTTGACAAATGTTTAGGAGACACAATTAAAATACGTATTTATGAGATGTGAGCCGAGGGCTCACTATGGGAATTTGTATGTAAAGTGCAGGGAACTCTGCTTAACTTTTATTGTTTGACTAATAAAATGCCCCAGGTATGGCTTCTTTTTTATAAGAGGGTGGAGCCCTGGCCGGTTTCCTCAGTGGTTAGAGCGTCGGCTCTGGGACTGAAGGGTCCCAGGTTCGATTATGGTCAGGGGCACATGCCTCAGTTGCCGGCTTGATCCCTGACCCCGGGTCGGGGCTCATGCAGGAGGCAACCAATAGATATGAGATGTTTCTCTCTCTGTCTCTCCCCGTTCCTTCCACTCTCTCTAAAAATCAATGGAAATAATGTCCTTGAGTGAGGATTAACAACAACAGCAGCAAAGAGAGAGGATGGGGTGACCAGCGTATCTGAAAAGACCAGGGGATCGTTGGCCTCAGGTGTGATTGAACCCAGGTGCTCAAATGAGCCCATCAGAAATGCCTCTTGCTTCACCTCTTCCCCTGCTTCCCCTTAGAAAGATGGTTGTATCTGTGCTTTCAACAAAATGCCTACAACCTCCCGTCTTTTCATGAACCAGCAAACATGTTGGAGACTTAAAGTATCCTCATTTTAAAATATGAGAAAACTCACAAAGGGGAAAAAAAAGTAACTGTGTCAGTCTCATCAAGCATTAAGAATTCGTTCAGCTCCCATTTAGATTCTTTCTGAGGTTAGGTGACCTCCCTTGGCAAGAATTCCCCAGTATGTCCAGTCAATCCTCCATTCATTGCTAACCAGAGCTAAAAGAATAATTATAAAGACCTTTTCAAAAATGTCCAGAGCCCCACGCCCTTTCTCTCTCTTGAGCACGCCCCTGCCTCTCCCCCTCCTTCCCCAGGCGTGTCCTCTCTTTCTTTTTTCTAGGCTCTGAGGGCCCTTCTCTTGCCTCCGTAACTCATTTCCTAAGCCCACATAGCCCAGCTGGCTGGCCTTCCCCACCTCTGTACCTTTCTAAATAAACTTTCTCTTATAATTTGGAAAAACAATTGTTTAGAGCAAAAAAACGTCTTTGGCCTCACTTTAACATCAGATACAATGTGTCATCTTCAAAAGCAAGAGTTCAGAGCCAGAGAAGCCTTGAAAACACCCCCACAAAGTGCCAAGAAATCCTGTCAGCCCTCGGCTTCTCTCTCAAGCTCCCCAGGGGTTGCAGTAAGAAAATTTCTGGGTTCTCAAATCCCAAGCAAAAGTCTCAGTGCTGATTCTCATTGGCTGAGCTTGGGCCATGTGAAAGCCCTGCACCAATCACTACAAGACGGAAGCAAGGCTCTGATTGACCACACCTAGCACTATCATGTCACTGATGCCACAGGGGTGGGTCAGAGCTTCTAGACCAGCCTCCAGGGTGGGCATAGGGACTGGACTGGCCGTTCTCAATGGGGGCTGAGGCTATGCCCCAGGGGATATTTGGCAATATCTGGGGAAGTGTTTGGTTGTCACACAGGGTGGGAGAAAGGTACTATTGGGATCTAGGGAGTAGACACTGGTAAGTGTTCCCACAGCAATGAATGGTGCCAACTGCATGCTGGACCAGCAAGGCCCTCAAGGCCAGGTCACCAACTGCCTTGTTCAGATTAGCAAACCAAGGCCGGAGAGGAGCCGGGATTCACTGAAGGCCAATGATGGGGATTCAGAAAACCTGAGATCTGGGTTGTTTTAATTGGGGTGAAGTGCACATAACGAAATTCACCCTTTTATGGTAAAATTGGCGTCATGATGATATATTTGTGGGCTGTGCGAGGAGCGATGAGTTGATCCACGTGCCTACCGTGTTGGACGGCTTTGAATGACCGCCCCTCTGTGGGAAGCTCTCCCGGGGCTTGGGGAGCACGTGTTTGCAGACTGAATAAATGAGAAACATTTCCTTCCTCAGGACTATCCATCTATGCTCTGCTGCTCTTCGAGATCGAGGCGGGAGCAGCCGCCGCCTCCATCCTTGGCTTGGGCGCCCTGGCCCTGGTGGCCGTGCTGACCCACGCGCTGCAAATAAACACGAAAATATGCTCAACACAAAAACTCAAAAAAGACCCTGCCCGCTCCGCTGAAGTCTCCAAGGCCAGCCCCAGGGCTCCGCCCCAGCAGGGTACCCACCACCAAATCCCCTACTCATTCTGCCCAGAACCTGGGGACCCCCTCAGACCCTCAGTCACTGCCTCCATGCCTGCAACGGTGGCGGGTGTCCGGGAGAGCAGCCTGTCTGCATCCTGCATGCACCGGACACTGTTGGTCGGTGGGGGGCACTGGGACGGGGTCACCCATGAGATGCGCAGCATGCTGGGACACAAGCCAGGGGGCTTGGGGAAAGATTCCACACTGGTGTGAGCTCAGGGGCCAGGGACAGAGAGCTGGTGTCAGGCAGCAGGAGGAGCAGTCTGCAGAGATCAGTCACAGTAGCAGGACAACTTGTTCTCTTTCAGTTCACAGCATCCCTCAAAGTTGCCTCATGGCACAAAGTGACTGCCAGGGCTCCAGCCTTCACATCCTCATTCAGAGAGAAAGGCAGAGGCCAGGGCTGGCTCCGCATCTTTCCAAAGTCTTCCTGGGAGGCCTTGGGACCTTTCTGCTTATTTCGCACTGATCAGGGCATGGCCACAACTTGCTGCAGGGGAGACTGGGAAATGTAGCGACGCAAACAGTGAGGTTCTGGGATAGGCAGGAGGGGCGGGTGGGGCTTAGGCAGCGGTTCTCTAAATGTCTCCGTCCATTTTACAGATGAGGAAACCGAGGCCCAGAGAGGGGCAGTGACTCACCACGGGTCCCCCGGCCAGTACTGAGCATCAGAGCCAGGTCCTGTAACCCCCATGCTGCTGACAGCGCAAGTCTCTGCGACTCCTTCCAGTCTGTGAGCATTTGAAACCTGTGTGTGCAGAGCTCAGGGAAGCCCAGGGCCACACAGCCCTGCAGGGCTGCACCCAGACTCCTGGCTGTGGGTCCGTGGCGAGGGCTTCACCACTCTGTGTCTCAGTTTCCTTGTCTGTAACGTGGGGACAGAATCGATCCCTCTCCCTAGGGTTCCCATGAGACTCCGTGTAAGCCATTCCGGGGGCCTGTGCACAGTAGGTTGTCAATGTGTGGCAGCTGGTGCTGCTGTCAGTCGGGGCACCTGGTGGCTGAGAAAGATGGGTTGATGGCCAGGTTCTGGGGCTCATGGAACTGGCAGGGCTTGGAGTGGATAACTCAGAGTCCCAGGGGTCTCCAGAGGCCCTGGCCCCACTCCCATCCTGCAAATAAACTCTGGCCCGCACTATCTCCACCTCACTTGAGCCACACCTGATTGTGCTTGTGGCCAAGCCCGGGCTTGGGGTAAGGAGTGGGGTGGCAGGAGTGAGGGTGGGGAGGCCAGGAATGGGAGACGGGGTTTGCCCTGGGAACTGTCTCCCACAAATCTTCAAACATACAAATTTCACCAGGAGTGGGGGTGGTCTGACCCCCCACCCCTACCCAAATGTGCAGATGTCCCAGGAATTTTCCAGCCTGTCCCTTCCTGAGCCACGTGAGGACTCCCGGGCCCAGGGAGCAGATGAGGCTCGGCCACAGCAAAGGAAACCCCCTTAGGACTCTTCCCAATGGGCAGAGAAGGGGCAGCACCCAGCAGGACGGCTGGTCCCCAAGCCTGACCCTGGGTAGGACCCCGCTGACCACAGACCTGGGTGTCCCACCAGCCTCGGCCCTCTCCTCCCTGGGTCCCTGGGAAGCTGCACAGACTTCCTCCGCACCATGGCGTGGGGTCAGGAGACCATGTACGTGAGCATGCCCAGTGAGCGTGGGCTCTTGGGGAGCATGATGGATATCAACAGAGGATAAAATGAGAATAAATGTTATGGGCCAGGTGCTTTCCTGTCCTCAGTTCATCTTCAGGACAACCCCACCCACAGATGGGGAAACTGAGGCCTGAGAAGTGAGGCCACCCAGCAGCAATGGCTGGAACCCCAGCACAGAGGGATCCAGGACAGAGCAGGTTCCTGAGGACACGGGGGACGCCAGTTTCTAAAACTCCCTGAAATGGGGCAGGCCTTGGGGACTCGGGGCGGAGGAGAGAGGAGGATGAGGACCAGCTGACTGCTGGTGCAGAGGGCCTCACTCCGGACTGGTCAGGGGAGCTAGACGCTGGGCCCCTCGCCTCATAGCCAGGACCAGGGTGGGAGCACAGCATGTGAGGCCGAAAAGGGCTGAAAACAGGTGTTCAAACAAATCCTTGCACACGCAAGTTCACAGCAGTACTAGTGACAATCACCAAAAGTCCACAAACTGATGAATGGATGAACAAAACGTGGTCCATCTGCACAGTGGACTATCGCTCAGCCATCCAAAGGAATGAAGCACTGACACCCGCTGCAACACGGATGAACCCTGGAGACATCACACTGAGTAAGAGCAGCCAGACACAAAGGGCCACATATTGTGATTCCACGTATGGAATGTCCTAAACAGGCAATCCAGAGACGGGAAGCAGGCCGGCGGCTGCCAGGAGCTGGGAGAGGCTGCTGGGCCTCCTTTTGGGGTGGTGAAAAGTTCTGGGAGTGTAGAGGTTAAGTGACCGCTCAGGGCCACCAGCCGGCAAGCAGTGGAGCTGGGACGTGTCTCTCCAGAAAGGTCCCTCGTCCCTCTCGGTACCCGGGTTCCGGCGATGCCTGGCTCTCAGCGCCCAGGAGCGAGCAAAAGGCAGGAATAGGTAAGGCTTCGATCCCTTGGTAGCCCAAGATGATGTCAGCTCAGCTTGGGGCTGTTTGAGATTTTTCATTTTATTTTTTAAGGTATATTTGTATAGATTTCAGAGAGGGAGAGGCAGAAACATCAATGATGAGAATCACTGATCGGCTGCCTCCTGCACACGCCCTACTGGGGACTGAGCCCGCAACCTGGACATGTGCCCTTGACCGGAATCGAATCCAGGACCCTTCAGTCCGCAGGCCGAAGCTCCATCCAAGGAGCCAAGCCAGCCAGGGCGCCGGGGCTGTTCGGATTGGTGTGGCCCCGCTCCCTCCCGGATGCTGTGAGGGGCCGGGCCCAGCAGGGCAGAGGGCTGGGATTTGGCAGGATCCTGTGACAGCTGGCCCAGTTAGACCGAGGCCAGCACAGGTCATCCAAGGGCCCCATCAGACCCGGTTGCCCTGGAAAGTGATCCAGGGATGGTTTCGGGGTAGCTGAGAAGGCAACCAGGGAAAACAAACAACCTTTGCTTTCCAGCCAGATTGAATTGCCAGGCCGGCGCCAGAGCAGCCTGGGCGGGACCTGGCAGGGGCCGGCGAGCCCACAGGGGAGATGGGGAGATAGCTCAGCACTGGAGGCCTAGTTCTCTCAGGGCAGCTGAGTGTGTGGGGGAGGACGTACCTTGTGCATGGTTTCCCCCCACCCCTCCAAGACAGCTGTCTTCCCTATTAGACCCCAGCACAGGGGCTCACCCTGCCCCCCCAGACCCCAGAGCAGGGTTCGCCTTCCCCCCCAGACCCCAGAGCAGGGCTCACACTCCCCCCCAGACCCCAGAGCAGGGAACCCTCTTCTCTCGGGCCCCTGAGCAGGGTGGTCTCCCCACTCAGACTCCTGGGGTCGTGTTGTTAGACATAAGGATCCGGTTGGGTGGTTTGTCCCTTTAGGCCCCATGGACCCATTCTGGCCAATGAGCTGTGACCTGAACTTGAACTAGGAACTTCCTAGCTTGGCCATTTAACTGGTAGCCCAGACTTTTCTGAGTCCCCCCCCCCCCACCCCCCCACCCCCCGTCAGGAGATGGTGGCTGCCCCTTCACCTGGATTTCCACACAACTGTGACCCACAGAGTCTGCTGCTTTACAGCTGTGGGCACGTGGTGTGGATAAGAAATAACCCTTAGCC